GGACTTTGCCCCTGTCATGTAATCTCCACGCTTATTAGCGTAATCTTCGGTATTACGCTTCGCTGGTACTGCAGTATAATCGTCAATGGCACTACGTTTAGAACTAGAACTTGTGTAGTCATCGCGTTTGCTGTAATCTAAACGTTTTGATGTTGCTGTACTGTTATAATCATCACGCTTCTTATCGAAACTGTTTAAAATTACAAATATATATATGATTGTATATGAATTACGTTTAAATAGCTAACCTTCTTGAGGATACTAAGCTGGCATCAAACCTAGGTGGTGGTGGTGCTTCCATACGTCCTTCATTTGTTGTTGTACGTTTACGTTCGGAAACTTCAGCATACCGATCATCACTAGTGTGCTTCGAATGACGTTTGATGGGTTCCTCACGAGCTTGTAACATTCTATACTCAGTACAATAGTCGCATAACCGGAAGAGAAGAAAGGAGAATAGCAAAAGAAATTGTTAAAATTTGTAGCAAGAAAAGAATATAAATTTCGCATTTGTAATTTACATTTCTCTACTTTGTATTTTTTTTTTGTTTTTTTTTTTTTTCAAAGTATGATTAGGGAAATTTTAAAATGAAATTCGCATTTGACATTTTGTCATGCTATTTTTAAATGTATAAAATTATTATTTATTTTTTTTTATATTAAATAGTTACGTGTGGAATTATGCGCAATGCATATAAACTGGATAATTGAAATCGGTTTGAAAATCAAACATTTAAAATATGTAAAAATTAGTATATTCAATGCATTTTTAATATTTATTTTGCACTTAACGCGTTTTGCATACTTCATTTGTTGGCGCTTTAGCTCAAGTCGTTCCAGTTCAATTTTTTCACGTTCCAACTTTTGACGCTCACGTTCCAAACGCATAAGCTCAGCCTTTTCTCGTTCAAGACGTTCACGTTCCTGAGCCAACTTTCTGCGTTCTTCTGCTAGACGAATTTCTTCTTGACGTTGACGATCGCGTATCTCCCGGCGACGACGTTCCTCTTCACGCAATTCTCTTTCCTTTTGACGCAAACGCTGACGTTCCCTTTCTTCGCGTATCTTTTGATAAGAGAGAATTTCGCGTTGACGTATGCGCTCGCGTTCACGTTCCCTTTCGCGTATGCGCTGTTCACGCTCTTTATCGACTTCCTTGGAACGAACTTGGTCACGTGAACGTTTATTGTCATTTGATTTTTCATCTTTGGCTTCTTTATCATCTTTTTTATCCTTTCCCTTATCTTTGTCCTTATCGTCTTTTTTAGTATCACCAAGTTTCCGTTTTTCATCATAAGGTTTGGCACCATCTTTAGCAGAACTTTTTTTGTCGTCATCTTTCTTTTTGGATGCTGAACGCGAACCTGTAACTTTTGCTGAGTCCTTAGCTCCGTTTGATGTATTACCAATTTCATTTTTTGTACGTTCCACAGATATAATGCGCCCATGCAGTTCAGTCCGGTTCAAATTTTCGATACAACGAGTAGCATCAGATGATGATGACATTGTAACGTAACCGTAACAACGGGAACCCGGTGTACGCGTATTTGTAACAACCTTTGCACCGATTACTTTGCCATACTTGGAGAAAATTGTTTTCAAGTCACTTGCACGTGTCAATGTTGATAAACCGGAAACCCATAAATTACGTGATGGAACTGTAGGCTTTGAGGATTTCGATGAGATGCTAACAGTTGATGCATTAGTAGTCTTTTCTGCAATGTCCATACAAATAATAGCGGAAGAGTAAAGTTGAAAATTATTATATTATTTCATTAAAAAATTTATTTTTATGTTGTACAGACTGAAGCATTTAGAACATTCTCGTCTGCTTTTTTGACATAATTGTATTGTTTGAATCTATACACCTAAAACTAAACACTATTACAACAATTAGTACTGTATTTAATATTATTTAGCACAAGTAAGAGTGTGAATTTATTGATTTGACTGTAGTTGCTAACTGTAGAAGTGGATACGATACTGCTGCGGTTGCGTTGATGTTTATGATTATTTGTTTTCTGGAATATCAGCAAATATTTAGCTAAAAAGAAATTAAATGTTGAAAAATAATTGTATTCATTAAACTTTTTTTTATTTAATTAATGTGTTGTTGTATCCGCATTTGAACTTTTTTTGAATATGAACAACTGCTTCTGTCCTCTATTGTGATTCAGTCGCTTTGCCTCCGTGTTTGTCGTTGCTTCGAAACGGGATATGTCTATATGAGAAACATAATGTGGTCCCTTTAATATAGATGCTTTGTCCTTTACAAAAATAATGTTGGCGACTAATCCGTTCTAGATACTTTTTGAAATGTGTTGCATTTTGCAACGTACAAAAATAATGTAGCACTGTCCTTTGTTGATAAGATTGTAAATTGCTTTACCGAATTTAATAGCAGCCACAGAATAAGTTTTATTTTACCTTTACATTCATCCATTTAATTAATTCCACATGTGCGTTGATAGTCTGCATACCACAATTTTCGTTGGAAATGATAGCTATAATGATATGGAGATGTTTTCAAAAAGAGAAATAAAAACAATTGTTGACCTAATCCTGTAAAAACATATTTCAGCTATCTTTTGGCTGGCTCCATGTAGTTGTAAACTCGTTTCTGTTGATCACGTCTTTCGACACTTCCAAAAAGATTTACTGGTCGTCAAGCAAACAATATAAACCAATAGCGTGCCAATCCACAAAGTCTCTGAATTATATATAAGCGAGTTGTAGTCTTGGAATAAACGATACAGTTGAATCCACTTAACAGTTAGGAGAAAACTTTCATATCAGCAATAGTTTTAGCGACTGATGATTTTAACCACAAAACACACTGAAGAATATAAACTGCATATTATAACACAGTTTAAGTAATATAGCAGCATAATTATGCTACTTGTTGATCCAGAATTGTTCACACACCATTCACACCATGAAATATTGTTGAAATTTATATATTCTTCACAAAATGATGGGTGGATACTTTTTTCATATCCATAATCAGCATTAAATGATATATTATTCACACAAAAATTTTGTGTGGTAATGGTTATGAGTAACTGCAACTGAAGTAGAAAATATAAAGTGAAGTAGAGTAGATCCCTCAGATTTTGTTTTGTTATTTTGGGATATTTTCTGCTGCTTAAACGTCTAATGATGAAAAGGTATAAATAACCTTCAAAAGCAATTATTGACAATGTTGGTTACTGTCTGTCTTCAGTAAAACAGATCAATTCTCGGGCCTATCCACATGTACATTTGTTCAACAGATTTAAAGGCTTATGCATTTACACCACCCAATAAGAATGCTGTATTGCTAGCTTTTAGTATTATTCACTCGGCTACTATTTGGTACTTGCACTTAGTACATCTGGTATATGTATTGCATACTGTCAGTCGATTGACTCCTCTTAAACTACTATAATTTTGAAGTCATTTCACGCTGTAAGCACAAACACAATTTTATATAAACCAGCGTTAACTCATTTCCCTTCTATTTAGAAACATTATTATGCTACTTTATGCAACCTTTATAAATATGTTCATAACTCTTGCTGCCATCTTTTCATCTGTTGTAGTAACCTTTAGTCCTCAGAAATATGCAATCTTCAGTTTTGTAAAATCCTTCAGCAATTGATTTTAGTGAAATCCTTCTGTGTCATATCAATCAAATTCACACTCTTTACCTTAAGCACATTTTACAATAATTGTTTTCAATTTCGAACCACAAATTTTTTTCATGTTTCGATTAACAAAACTAACACACACGAAATTATTTGAATGTTGCTAACTTCTACGTATTTACCTTTTTCATCCTTATGTGACGATTTTGTTGACGATTTATGTTCACTGTATAATGAATAATTAAAACAAAAAAATTTTATGAGTATTTTCTGCTTGTGTTGCATGAGGTATAAGATATTTTTGACTAAAATAATAAAGCACAAAGTCGACATAATAAAAAACGTATATCCAATAAAATTAAGCAATTTTGCAATTGCGCTATCCATCATACAAATTTCTGTTTGTATGATACTTTTCTGGGTTTTCTGACACAGCTACTGTTTTCTTAAATTCGTATGTTTCATAAATTAAATAGTTTAGTATGTTCCTCAAAAGATTAACTTTGCACTTTATTATTTTCGTTAATTACGCTTCAACCAACCTCGTGTCTTTTTTGTCAATGGACTTCTCTTCTTTTTTCTTATTTTTGTTGGAAGCCTCATCTTTGCCACCCTTTTTCTCATCTTTTTTTCCTTTGTCGCTATTTTGTTGTTCCTTAGCTGAGCTCTTATCCTTTTGTGATTTGCTGGCTTCAGCTATTCATTTTATTATTTATAATATCGAAAGATATGTTATTAACATCTTAATAGCAATTTAAAGGAGATTATATATTACTGAAGCAATATAATAGAATATTGCAACGAGTAATTTTGGCTTCCCACACAATATGAGTTTAGAGGTTGTTATATACATATTTATACCATATTGCATTATATGCATTATATAATATATATATAAATATGTATAAAACACAAATAGTTATGAAATATACACATCAAAGTCAATATATACGCATATTAAGGAGTGCATCATAAACATACCTGTTTTTTCCTTTTCATCTGCAGCCTAATAATGAAAAATAGTTTAATAATTTTATTTTCAATAAATTTTTGTACGTTTCAACTTACTTCATGTAATAATTGTTGCTCTTCTTCGCCAATTGTCAAATTAATTGATTCTTCGGTGTCATGATTATTATTTTCACTAATTTCTTCTTCGTCCTCTTCTTCGTGCACTTCATCACCTTCACCACGTTCATTTTCCTCATTTTCTTGTTCATCAGCGTCAGCATCAGCATCGACGTCTGCTTCAGCATCTGCATCATCAACATATTGAGACTCTTCATCTTCATTTTCAATGATAACACACTCGTCATCTACAGTTCCCACTTGATCAATCTCGTCATCTACGTTCGCATCTGCATCGCCATTTTCATTACCAGACTGAAATCCATCACGACTGTCTTCTGGGTAACCATCCATAACGGGTTCTTCCTTTATTTTTATTTCTTCCGTTCCAGTTCTATCTTTAGATTTTGGAGTTATTTTATCTCCACTTTTAAAAACGTATTTCTGAGGATCATGGCCTTCTTGCTTTAAGGCCTTTAAAAAAAATATTTATTCACATTTTTATTATTGACGCAAATATTAATAAATTAAAGTTTTAAGAGCAATAAAATACACATTACAAAACTTTTAAAATATTAATATATAACATTGAAAATAATTACTAATACCTTTTCTAAACGTTCTACTAATGTGGCCTTAGCACCAACAGTATCCATTTTACGTTTCTCAAGCTGAAGTTTCAGATCAGAAACCCTTAATTCACTTAACTTTTTACCAGTTTCAACCATTTTGTTTACAGAAGTATTTCTTTAAATTGTGTTTTAA